AGTAAATCACTTGGCAGTCTTCTTTGTTTACAGCTTCTGTGTCTCTTCATTCTTTATTCATTATAAGAAATACATGAAATTACACTGGACTCCGAACAAGATTACTAAAATCCATGCAATTGGCAATTCAGCTTTCATTTTGCTGCTTCAATAGAGCAATAATTTCCCCAAACACTGTTTATCCTTTACCCAAATAAATAACTAGAGGGCTGGGTAGGGTGTCTGGATTTGGCAATGAAACATTCCATGTTCTTCAGGATCTTAATTTCAAATATTCTCTCTCACTGTCAGGCCACATGTTTAAATTTTGAGATCAGAAAATATGGTCATTTTAGTGTGGAAGATAACAAAAACACTACCCATCCCATTTATAGTCTCTATTTCCAAATTGTATACATCTAGAAATGAGTTTGACAACAAATTTGCAGAGCCCTTTGAACATGCAGTATTAATGAAGGGAAGAGGAAACACATATACTACAAAACAATGGAAGAAAAAAAATCATTTATGCTTGGGTTTGGAATGCAACCAAGTATTTATATACTCATAGACACAAGCACACAATTACTTCACAATATGCCTAAAACCTCTCAGTCCAGTCCAGCACTACTGTCAAAGGTCAGAAGAGCCCTCATTTGAAACAATATAAAATATAATCAGTCTTCAATAGTCAAGAGATTTATGTACAGAACTCATCACCAACTTTTTCTCAACGTTATCTTCAAATACTGAATAATATGCCAGGAAAATATTAGTTCACAAAATTACATTTTGATTTTTAAAACACTGATCCAGAGCTCTGACTACTCAAATGGTACCCTTTTAGGCAAAGGTCTTACAGGTGTCAACATTTCTATGAGGTCTTCCCTCTAGGTCATTCCTTACCTATGTCCCATTTTTTTCTGAATTCCTCTGGCTTTTGATTCCTGTATAAAAATAACTGGCAGGTACTTCAAATACTACTATCTTATACCATACCCTGATACAGATATATCCCAACTATAACATAAACTCCATGAAGCCAAGAATTATGCCTTCCTGATTCACAGTAACACTTACTAACCTGATTATACAATATACTCATCAAAAATACGCTAACTCACTTTAACAAACCACTACAAATCCAAATTCTTCTTGGGGTAAAAAATAGCAAAGTAACTAAAGGAGCCAGATTCTTCAAAATCTAGGTGATTGACATTAAAAAACTCTTTTCTATATTTCTTACTAAACTCAATGGACTCCTTAAACAAGATACATTTGAAGCCGTGGTATATCTTCAATTTTATATTTTATATAAATTTTATCATTACCAGGTACATTGCTCAGTTTACACAATCTGGCTAGACAACTTTATAAGAGGAATTTTAAGAATGTACTTATGTTTAGATTCTCTTTCAACTCCATGACTTTGGACATATGAATGTTATATTTAGTTAGTTTTACATAATTATTTTCAATTTAGTTTGGCATCTATATAATTTTATAAGTGTATTCATTATAGAGATAATACTTTAAAAGTAGCTATTCAGCTTTAACCTGGCCACACTAACAAAAAAGCACAGATAATACAAAACAATGGATGATCCAAAAAGCATTAACAGTCAACTCTCAATTATTCAAACGTGGATTACCTAATAAATATTTTAGCCTTTTTATGTCCACTATTCTAATAGTATTTGCTTAGGAAATAAAAACTGATGCTAATAATTCAAATAAAAGACAAGACATCAATCTACAGTAGGGAAGGAAAGAATATAAAATCTTCCCAAGTCACAGAAAATAATGCTATTTAGATTATACATTTAGGACTCTTCTGCCATTATTCACCTTTTTATTAAGTGCAGGTAACTGAGAGTGGACTGTATTTAGCTTGGTGATAGTCAGAGGTACAGATACACAGGCATGCAAACCATTCACTCACCCCACTGTGCTTTTCACAGCCCTATTTTCAGTAGCCTGAGACCTGGGAGGGGGAGGAGGCAGCAAGTCACTGCAGATGATCTCTTAAAAGGAAATTGAGAGTTGACTATAATTTACATTTAAAGTACTATGAAATACCATCACTCCTACACGTATTCATTACTGTTTATGGGAATACTTCTCACAGTGATTTAACAAGGTTATAAATGCTTTCTCTTTAACCTTTCAATATCCCAGAAACATAGTGATAACTGAGAATCACATAGATGAAGGTGAAAGTGCTACACATGTAACGCAGTATGCATTTTAGAGATCAGGAAACTGAAGCCTAGAGAGGTTAAATAGCATGCCAAGATTGTCCTCAGATTAAGGAATAGCAGAACTGAGTCCTCCAGACCCATCTTCACTGCCACAGTCTTGCAGTCCCTTCAGCCCAAAACTCTCCTCTTGGCTTCAGAGATCATCATCTTGCTAATTCTCTTCTGTTTGCCCCTTTCTTCTTATTGATTCCTACGCTATGACATAGGCTCTCTTGAGCTTATCTTCTAACACTCAGATCTTCAGCTCTTTTCTCCACTTACATTCTTCCCTCTCTCAATGTCCTATACAGAGAACAATCAGATGACAAGTTCTGAACTACTAAAACTTCCATTCCAGTACATACTGCTACCTCTTACACATCTCTGACAGAGTCAGTCACCTGAAATACAAAGTACAAAGCTGAACTCATTATCACCCTCCCAAAATGATTTCTCCATTTCATGGCACCATCAATTTCATTGCCCCTCAGGACTTCAAACTTAAACTGCTTTTATTTTTACTTTCCTTAATACTGCACTACTCCTTTTCCTGTCTCTCTCTCCATTCTTCCATTCAATAAATGCCTCAGTTATTATTATATGCTAGATGCTGGGGAAGAAGCTTAAGATTTAGCAAGGGAAAAAGAACTGGACAAAGAATTGAAATAAGGCAATGGTAAGCGATATTTAGAAAGGAATAAGCAAAGATGTGTAAAAGTAGACAAGGAAGCAATGAATTCACGCTGGGATGGTAAGGAAGGATTTCCAGAAGTGGCATGTGACCTAGACCTTAAAGAATTAGGATTTCAATAAAGAGAGCTGGAAATGGAATTCTAGGCAGAGGAAACAACCTATGCAAGGTCAAGTAAATAGAAACTGCATGCCATGTGCAAGGAATAACAAACAGCTGTCTTTGACTAAAGCAATGATTCTCAACCAGGGGCGTAACACAATCTCCAAGGGGAAAGAACAGGAATGGGAAGGTTGGTGCTTTAGACTAGCAAACTCTCCCCAATCCCTTTTGAGAAGCATTGTGTGTAAAGAAGTGGGGAGTGTGTTACACAACTGAACTATGCAGAGAGGCAGATAGGTTGAGAATAATATGGTTAAGATAGTACAGAAGAAAATAATTCTGAAATAAATCATAAAAGGGCTTCAATGCCAACCTAAGAAATTAGAACTTTATTCTGTGAACAAAAATGAGTGTCTGAATGTTGAGTGTGTGTGCTTTGTTTTTTCATTTAACGGAACGACAAGATCGATCTAGGTTTCAGTGAAATAATCCTGGCAATCATGTAGCAGAGGGAGTGAAAAAAGGTGAGAGAAAAGAAGATTTTACTATCATCTACATTTGATAACGAGGACGTGAACTAGACCAATGACAATGGAAATAGAAAGAGACTGGATTCAGTAGATATTTCAGAGGCAAAGTGAAGGAACATGGCAATTGAACAAAGAGAAGTAGCTCTCTAGATTGAATAATAGAGGATGGCAGCAGTACCTAGAAAGAGAAAAGTGGGTACGCTTTGGGGTACAAAGTTTTATACATCATGACTTTGAGAAATTACCAGACTCATATGCTAATACGTTTTGCAAGTTTAGAAGAAAAAGTCTGAATAAAAATGTGATTATTGTAACCATCTCAATTCATGGATTTTTAAGGCCATGAGTGAAAAGGCTGCTCAGGGAGGTAGCACCAGTAGAAGAGGGAAAGAAGATCAAGGACAGAACCTTGGGGCTCACTTGTTAAGGACCTGGAAGACCAGCCAGTAAACAGAGAAGGAGCAGCATAAGAGGTAGGAAAAGAACCAGGAAAATATTTCACAAAAGTCAAATGAGGAAAGAGTTGCAAGAATAGCAATACTGTAGTGGCTACAAGTGCGTGATCTGCAGTTAGTCACCCACTAGCCCTGTGACCCTGGCTGAATTACTTACCTTTCTGAGTTTCAGTCCTTTAGAATCTCAAAGCATATATCCTCAACTGTAAAACACGGATAACAAGAGCACCTCAGAGTTGTTGAAGATTAAGTGAGAATATATTTCAGTGCCCGGAACAAAACTTTTAATACCACAGTACTACTACTAATAGAATGAGGAACTTAAAAATGCCAGTGAATTTTGCATGAGGTTACTAGCATCCTTTAAGAAACTATTTTCAGGGAAGAGCTGTGCTTACAAGACTATAGCAGTTAAGGAAGAAAGTTGTGGAGTGAAGATAAACCATCCTGTCTGTGCAGCCTACGAAAAAATAACTATTTTGTAATCTTTGTCTTTATCTTTCCACATCTCCCACCATCATCCCATGTCTAGTATAGTATCTGATCCATATGAAGGATACAACAAATGTTTGCTGAACATAAGAAACTGAGCGAGTAGGAAGGAAGAAATGAAGAAGCAAGAGATCTTAGTTCTATAAAGAACCTTAGAGGAAGTAGTACTAAGAGCATAAAATTCCTTTCCATATTAGCCTGGGAAAGGAACAGAGATAGTTCTCTGACTCAGGGAAACACAAGGTAAACATGGATGAACTATACGGGGGAGAGGACAAGAAAATTCAGGTAAGACAGCTTCTACCTTTTTAATAAAGAAATAAAAGTTCTCTGCACAGAGTAGGAGGATTCCAAAGTTAGTCAGGAATCTCAAGAAGACAAATTAGTTAATTCCTCTATTCCAATATATATTCAACTTCATTTCTGTCTCCAACACCCTTGTCTAGTCCCCCATCATCTCTTACATTCTATCACTGGCCTCCTGAGTTGATCCTCTTCCGATTGACTTTACCTTTCCCGAGGTGTGGGAAACATCTCTTGAGAGCTGATGTTTCCTTCCACTATGTCCGCCACTATTCTTATGAGAAGTCAACCCCTCTGTGAAGCTTTCTCTCATCCTCTATCCACCAGATAGTTAATCATTCTCTCCTCTAGGCTATTTCTGTCCCTTGTACAGTTTGATTACTTAATTCATTGTTCCATACTGCAATCACTTCTTTATGTCTGTTCCAATAAAATCCTAAAAGGGGAGTAACATCTTCCTCATCTTTATTCCTCCAGCACATAATTCAGCATTTATTATATAACAGGCATTCAGTCAATGTTTGTTTTGTCTAACTGAAGTGAGCGATTAAACATGAGTAATCTCCTAACTAGAAGAAATCAGAAAACATAAAGTTAGTGTTAAAATTTGCATGATTCAGCAACTGAAACAGTCAATTTTTTAATTCTTACTAATAGAAAAGTAAAAGGGTTGGATAATCAAAATATACATAAAACTCAATACTTTTAAATAAATTATATTCTAAAAAGTTTATTTGAATACAGGTGCATCCATGTCCTTGGAATTCACTTTGAACAAAATAATTAAATTATACTAGGAAGGGCTCACACAGGAAGAATATGGTATCTTTTCAGGTTATTCAGTACCAGGAAGAGATGTACTATTGGACTGATAAAAAATAGACTATCCTTGCAGTGGAACTGGCTAAGGGAAGCCTTTGGGCAAAACAGAGAGACCATTTAATGATATCAATAGCAAATATCAGGGACTTTCACAAATTAAGTAGAGTAGTTGTCTGAACAAAACTGAAAGCAACAATTACCAATGAGTTAAGTGTAAAATCTACTACAATGAAGTTCCTAAAGCAGATCAAAATTAGTCCATCAATAGTTTTTAATTAAAGCACACTATGTATGAACCACAGTACTAACACCAATACCAAAACCAAAGAATCTTAAAACTCTCCTGGGCCTCAAGAAGCTTGCAAGGCTAGCCAAGTCATTATTACTAAGAAATTTTCTAGAGTCTGGGAGAAAAATTCTAAGGTTCTACAAAGTAAAATGTCACATTTTATCTAAAGTACATATAATAGACTGCTCTTTGCTCAGATCTAATTTACTGGTAATCTCAGAGATTACTTTTTACAGTTGTCATATTTAAGAACTCTACTTCAGACAGACTACCATCTAATTAACAGCATGTCTCAAAAAATGAAATCTTCAATACCATAATTCCTTATTAACAGGCTTATAATATTCAAAACAATCATCTGAAATATTTTATTCAAATACTTATTTTATCACGTTTGAAATGTGATATAAATAATTTTGATTTCATAGCACAGGAAGGCAACTAACATCTAGTTAACATCACTCACAAAGTATCAAGTCCTGTGCTGAGTACTTTAATTAAGCACCAGGCCATTTACTTCTTATATTCTTAACAACCCTCTGAAGTTATCTCTTCTTTTTTGAGATGAAGAAACCAAGAGCAGAGCAAGGTCAAATAACTTGCCCCAAATTACCTAACTATTAAGTATCACAGCTGAGATTACAAACCAGAACTATTTGACTTTACAGTCTGCCCTCTTTTCACTATACACCGATGGCTCCTTTAGGAATTACAATGACTATGACCTCTATTTTATAATGAACTTTGTTCCATGGCTACACAACGATTTCTCAACGGTTACATAAAAACAATTAGAATGAGAGCAAACACTGGATTACCATTAAAAAATACATATTTTTGGTTACTCAAACTTTAGCTAAAACATACTGTAATCCAATCCACAAACAGCTGCCTTCAGCTGCAACGCAGACTGCCCCACAGTTCTCAAATTATTACTAAAGTTTAATTCCTCAGGAACTTTCTTCATGTTAGAGCCACAAGCCTTGTTTTAACAATGAAATGTTTGTCAGATAGCAATTTCTTAAACAATACCGTCACTTTATAATGAATCTAACTCAAGGTCCTTTTTTCATTCTAAACTTCCTTAGGATTTAGGAATACAGGTCTCATATAACCTCTCATTATTAGTTGTGTATTGCTTTTGCAATCAGTTTCAACTGGCTATGTATATTTTATTCCAAACTGAAGTACATTTTGTCAGGTCCAGCAGAAACAGCATTTTCTGCACTTTTTGTTTTATCCTAGAAATACCTATGGACATGGGTGTTTACTAAATGCTCAGGAAATAAATCATTTTAAATAGTATGTTTACTATCTGTATACTTGAGTAAAATTGGAGTAAACCAAAAGTATCAAATCAAATTTGTACATATGCTTTTTTACGACCCAAAATTTTCATGCCAACCAGAGAAACCACCATATATAGGAGCTCAGCAAATTCGATTTAAAGCACAACTATAACTTACTTCTAGCACCACATCCGAAAAGGTTTTTAACGCATAAATCAGACTCAAGATCTAATAAATGCTCTTTTCACTTCTAAAACATACATGCTCACATATAAATTAAATCACTAACAAACTACATCATTACAGAACTCAAATGCTAATTTTGAGCCCTGTGGGAATTTTGCTTACTTTGTTAGAAAATTTACTAGAAAATCTTTTCCCACATATATTTTATATAGATTTTTCATATCTGTCTTATATATAGTCAAGTTTCCAAACTTACACGTCTTTCTTTCTACACTAATATTCTTATCTGCTGAAAAAAATGTTCCAATTGAGTGTATTACTGATCTAACCAGTTGCCAGTCCTATGACTTAAGCCCTATTATGTTTCAGAAACTCTTCTGCCTGTAAAAGGATCTAAATCACCCAAAACTAAGTCCCTGAACTTTCAGAAAATATTGCTACAAAAATGTACTCTTGTAGCTAAATGAAAACTAGCCTTTTAGTTTATAAAACAGTAATCTTGCATGATGACATACAAAATAAAACAGAGAATGCACTATGCTCTAAATACAGAGATGAGCCTCAACAATGCGTCTGCGTCTAACAAATGCTGCAGATAATGGCAAGTACAACATAAGTTAACATGTTTTTTCATTTTACATAGAATGTTTACGACGACTTTCTTTTAACTTCCTAAAGTGTTTTTCACATCTCAAAAAGGAAACTGATTCTGTACGGCTGAAGTGGGTTACACTCTTAAGCTACAGCCGGTGTGAAAAGCGACTTCTTCGGAATCAGTAGACCAAATCCTGTTTACCGTGGAAGAGAAAAACAAAACCTTGTACATAACTACTAAATCTTCAGCGAGATCTTGTCGCGCGAACTCCAGTGACTGATGGAAGATATACTGGCCGGTAGCCGGATTAGGTCCTTAAAAATATAACCGGGATTTACCCAGTTCCGAAGGTGTAAACAAACCCATCGCCACTGCAGAAGGTAAACAATGAACCTGCAGAGCGGGTGAGGGGGCGGTCTTTGCCAACTACAGTCCCAGCGGCCAGGGAAAGGGAAACAGGAGGGAAACACGGCGGACACCAGACACTCAGCAGTAAGGTTTCACTACCGAGTGATCAAGGCTGCGGGTCCCCCAGGGCGGTGGGCAAAGAGAGGAGAAGGCAGCAGGAGCCCAGCAGGTCCAGCTTCTGCTCGGGGGGACGGGGAGGGCAGGATGTGGTCGCTCTGCCCTCACACAGCCTCCGGCGACCCAAGTAGCAGCCTCGACTCCCTCCGGTCGCCCCCAGGCTTCGGCGGCACGGGCTCCGGGATAGGAGAAAAACGCACCCTCGGGGATCCGGGGGAGCCAGAGGGTCGCCGGGGCCGCCGAGTCCCGCTCGCTGCTTCCCGGCACCCGCAGCCCCCAGAGGCCCGGAGAAGGGCTCGCGGCGAGGGAAACGGGCACCGGGAAGGGGGATGGGTCCGAGGAGGCGGCCCCGGGCTTGGCTCCCGCGGGCCGGCAGGCGGGGCTCGGGCTCTGCCTCCCGCACCCCCGCCGGTCCCGAGCGGGCCCGCCCCTGCCCACGGCCCCCAGCCCCGGCTCCTCCCCGGCTGCGCCCTCGCCGGCGCCCGCGGCGCCCCGCGTTACCTCGGGTCAGGTCCAGCGGGACGTTCTCCTCGCCGCTGTCATTCCGCCCTGCGCGAAACAGACACACAGCCCCAATTAGGATTCGCTCGCAGGCCAGCGGCGGCAGCCCTAGCTCCAGCCAGCGCCCCGGCTCGTTCCCCCCGCCCAGGGCCAGGGGGAGGCAAGTGCCAGGGGTGGCTGGCGCCGGGCGGTGGGGGGTGAGGGCTGCAGCGGGCTTACCTCGTATTCGGAGGTTCTTCAGCGAGCGGCCGCGGCCGATCGCCGCCATATTGACGGGTTTCAGTCACAACACCGGAAACCTCGCCCAATCGCGCGAGAACCCCTTCCCCTCCCCGCGCGCCGCGCCCGCCCCCCGCGGCATCGCCCCCGCCCCTCCGCGGCGGCGGCGGCGGCGGCAGCGGGCGGCGGGCGGCGGGCGGTGCAGTCTCAGCTCGCGGCTGGAGGGACCGCTGTGCAGCCCCGGGGTCTCGGTGGAGCTCGCGGCGTGGGCGCTCGCTAGTCCGGGCCCCGCAGGGCGCGGCGATGCACCCGGCCCTCTGCGAGCACGTCCGCCGGGAGGGGGGCATTTCCCACGAGGGGAATCCCATTGATGCGAGTTTGCAGCGTGGAGGATGCTTCCCCTCCAGCCGCCGCGGAAACCGTAGTCAAAACCGAGACAAACAAGGAGGAGACCGGGATGCGGCCGGCGGGCCACCTGCTGAAACCATCCTGCATGATTCTTCTGCTTGCTTTCAGTCCCTGAGATAGACAGTCCCCCTTCCTTATTCATCAATTAAAACGATTTTTATTAAAAAAGAAACATAAAAACTCCCCGCACAGTTTTAATGTAACTCAAATCCCTTCTAAAGTCGCTTTGCTCCAACCAAGTTAACACGGAACAAAGTTTTCCACCCTCGCTCTGACCGCCGTGCTAAGCAGCTTTGCACTTGATCTTCAAAGCCACACTCAGCCAGGAGGGCTTCTCTGAGTGGCAGTGCTTGGGTAGAAGTTTTGTTTTTGACCGCCTGGCGCAGGAAGGGACAAGGGATGGAGAATAGGCAGTGCAGGGTGGTCGTCCCGGGCAGTGGGTGGGATTGTTCCCGCGCACGCGCGGGCGCCGGGAGGCCCAGGGAGAGGGTTTCCTCTCTGCCTGGAACCGAGGAGAGGTTTGCTGAAGGCTGTGTCCGGGTTTTCTATCTGTGTAGCTCCTAGAACAGTAGCTAATGTAGAAGTTGTGGATTAGTATTTTTCCTACATAAGCCTAACAATTATTAACTGTAGAGATTTTAATTCTAAAAACTGCTTTAGCTATTTAATATATATGTACCTGGCTCCTGAGCCAGCAACTTTGTCTTACTAGATGAACTGTAAAGAGAGGGTGAGCGGTTTGTCGCTTTTTATTCCTCAACTCTGTCTTTCTATTCTATGAGACTGGAAGTTCATTGACAGTGGAGATCTTGCCTTAACCACCTCTGTTTTCCCAGCTCCCAGTTAACGCAGTGTCCAGCACAAACAAGTGTTCAATAAATAATCGGATGAGTAAATGTCTTGGATTCCTTCTTTGTTCCAATGTTCTTTTTGATGTAAAAAAAATTTTAAAACAATGTGGGAGATACTAATTGCAGTCGTTAATAATAGTGAACTACTGGAAACACTTAAATGACCAAAAGTAGGGATTATACAAATTATTGCAGCCATTAAAAATGACGTTGCAGGTCTAGTATATTTACAGGAAATAATGCTCATGACATTAAATCAACTCTTTTTTATAAACGTTCAAAATATGTATCAAATTAGAAGTATACTTTGTAAAATATTTTACATATCTGTGTACGTAGAAAAAAGTCTGAGAAAACATACATCAAAATGTTAACTAATTTTCTTCCGTTCAGTGGTGGAATTACGCATACGGTTTTTGTTCTTGTTTGTTTGTCTGTACTTTAAATGTCCTGGAATTAATATATATATATCGGTTGTAAAATAAGTAAAAGTTTAAAAAGAAAAATAAAAGCAGCATGGAGTAGCATCATTATGAAAATAAAAGAGGAACACTGCTTCCTTAGAGTTCTACCCTGTCTGTATATTCCGGATCCTTTTCTATTAGGTCTGCAATCAGCTGTCTGCTGGTGATACTGCACTTAGATTCCGGATGCAACATAATTAACACTTTTTAAAAAATGTCTCCTGACATTACTAGTAGTAATTTTAATAACAACAAACTTGCTCCCTTTTTTGTGGCTTTTAAGTCTTGGTGCAAATTATTTATTCTAGTTACAGCCTAAGACAAAAATCACAAAACGAAGTCTGGCTAGGATGGTAAAAATTTTGGATTCCATCCCTCTATGTATCACATTCCCCCACTTTAGAAAAGTAAAAATCTATCAGTGGAAATTCTACCAGATTCTTTGTTCAAATTTTCAACCAACCCTTTCTATACTATTTTTTTATCCTTATCTGTTCTAAATGAACTCCTTCCTAGTAAAATTTAACTTCATTTTCTCTTTCAGTCTTTCATGGAAGTGAGTACAACTGATCCACTTTTAATTTACTTGGGGGTACATGAGAGCCTGAAGCTAACAGCCTTTCATCTTTATAACTGTAAGTTCCTATTTAGAGATCATTATTCACTTAACTCTGTCTCTTCCGGGAGAAAAAAGACATCTTTCTCCAATTCTACAATGAAACTAGTTTTTCCTCTGTTACTATGTCAGTCATTTGAGTGGCTGTGTTCTCCACATTTGTTCTTAAGGTGAAAAACATTCTTGGGAAAAAGAACAAGTTCTTAGTGTTTGCAAATGACACTTAACTAGGAAGCAGGAGTTTAGGTAAATTTTAGTAAGGAATACATTTCATAACACTGTGTTTGCTTTGTAAACACTACATGAGTGACCCTAGTCAGCTTATTTGTTAAACTTCTAAGTTATCTTCTATATATGCCAATAGCTAGCCATTCCTCTTTTCGAAACTTGTTTTTCTTCCTTATTTATTTTAGCACGCCTCTATGTCTTACTCATTTTGTTTACTTCTTACTACTTCTTCAATTTTCCCAGGTCATTTTGATTCTAATCTGGTCATTGAGAATGTGACTTCCTCTTTTTAGTTTTCATTTCCCAAATAGGTTTCATTTGCTGTGTGAATGAATGTTTTTTCTCATAGTTTTAGTCATTGATAAAAAATGTTATATGAGATTGGGTCCAGGACCACACGTCTAAGAGATGACTGCTCCATTCCAAAGATACAATGACTCCATGAATAGTCACTGAGTTCTATTTTCTATCCTGTTGCACACAGTTAGTAATTCTAGTTTATAAACAAAATATTATCAGTTTCAGATACAGTAGTAATGTTGAACAGAAACAAAGTCTTGCCAAAAATCTTAGTTCCCTTTATCTATCTGCCTGGTTACATAGGCCGTGTGAAGACAAAGCAAGTCGAAAACCGCAAGATTTGGTCAGTCTATTTTTTGGCAATTTCTCTTCATAGTTAAACCACACGTTTAACATCCAGATAAAGGCCATTAAGATGACAGGCAATGAATGAAATGAAACAAATACTGTACAGAGCTGATTATGAGGATTCAGCCTTGGTCACAGCAGGAAGGAGTCTCTTAGTATTGTTCCTTTAAATTTTAATCTCTATCCCAAATCTCATGTAAATTTTATTTTTAAAAATTCTACAAGGTATAAAGGCCCTCTATCAAAACAGTTTTAAAATGAAGTATAAGCCTATGTTTGTACAAAAAGAAGATCCATATACTCATAAAAGAAAATCTAGAAGGGGATGCACTGAAATTCCGGCAGTGATTTATCTCTGGTTGGTGGAATTTTGAGTGATTTTTATCTTTCTTTTTCTCATTCTAACTGTTCTAAAACAAATTTTTACTTGTGAAAATTTTTTAAAAAAAAAACATTTTAGAGAAATTTTGTTGGCTATCCTAAAGCACAATGATAAACATCGGATTATGATAATTTGTTATGCAGTAGAGCTATCAAAATTATTTTTGTGTATCTCATCATCAAAAAAAGAACATTCATGTGTATACTCCAATACAAGTGCATTTTCTTTTTTATTAAATAAAACATAAAGATGAAATAAAAATGGTTAAAAGTAATTGAAAGTAACTTTTAATGTGCTTTACTAATGCTACAAATAAAAGCAATGTGGCTGAATACACTTCATTATTTTTAAAATTTCTTATTAAATATTTTGTGATACAGCAATTCAAAAGTTCACTTCTAAGACAAATTTATTTGAATGTTGCGTTTTGGTAACTGAAACCTCCCAAAATACAAAGTTAAAAATAACTACTCTATTGAGTAAGAACTACTCTATTGGCTGCAGTTTCTAAATCAATCAACAACACTCGTTTTTAAATTCCATCCATCAGTTATACAAAGGTTTTTTTATGTAATTTGGCTAATAAATATCCATCTTCCCTAATGTCAATCCATTTTCATAGCAAACTGGAAGGCATAACATTTATAAATTTTTAACAGATGGTTTCAAACCTCTTCATCTGCAAGATTTTAAGCAGGTTAGAAAACTCTGTTTCATGATTTTTAAGCATGTAGATATAAAAATGTATGTAAGTGACACATTTATATTTTTAATTGTTTTCAGGAAAAAAACCACAAAACTGTGGAAATATTTCCAAGTATCTGTTTTCTAAATGCCCTCCTCCTAAGCACAAATTTCTTTTGAAAAGTAGTAACTTTCTTAGCTATCATTATTACATTCACCTTGAAGGGAAAGATTAGATTTAATATTTTTTTAAATATCTGATAGATAACATGCTACTAGAAGCCACTAGTCATTATGAAAAACAGTTTGCCACTAAATAAATATCAAACATCAGCATGGTACAAAAGATTTTCATAGTCACTCCCCTTCTCATTTCAAAATGTGTGAAAATTAAACTGTATTTTAAAGGTCTTTATTATATGAAATTATCACATGTAGTACTATCTCTATTCTTATGTGAATCTCTTTTAAAATTTTATTTACAGCAACTGCTTCATCGATTTTTCATAAAACATTGCTTTTATTAAGGAATTTGTATATCGATGAGGATTCATTTCTTTGGTACATCTTAATTTGGTGACACAGAAAAAGAATAATTATTTGTGTATTTTATTGTGAGCATAATTTAGCAAACACCACAAGCTGAGACAAGTGTAGATGCATTTATGCTTCTATCCAACTGCACAGCAAAGCTTTCCTAATGCCTATTTGTTCAAATACCTATGTCTTCAAATCTTCAGGGCTTTTTTCCTTTTTGTGTCTTGGTTGACCAATGGGACTGCATTTTAATTTTGTCTACAAATTGTTTGTGAATTTTTTTCAGCCATTTTTTTCTGTGGCAGGAAATGCCGGTACATTCTTCACTGATATGTACCTTTTTGTCTGTTGTTACAAAGAAGTCTCTCTTTTTGCAAGGTAATGGATCCAATACTGCGCAACTTCTAACATCACTAAAACATATAGAAAATTATCTTCATATTCTGAATGCTTATTTTTAAATATCTTGCTAATCAGATAGTTTTATACTGTCATTAGCTAATATCTCAAGGAACAATATACACTTAAAAGTTAAGGAATAGTAAAGGATAATGTACATAAATTAATATTTCACATAATCTTAATTTCAATTTTTAAAAATTTTGGCTGACATTGTGACATCTGATTACTTTATCATTGCTTTTTCCTTGTAATGATGTTGATGAAAGTGCTAATATCAGGAGTAGAAGTATCTGATCCTCTATATTTTAAAACCATGTGCTTGTGCTTTCATTATTTATGTTACATACATGCAATTTCTTTGCAAGATTCTTTTGAAGCCATGTGTCCATTTTGTGAAGGATAGTTTAAAATATATTCCTTAAAACCACTTACCTGCACGTAATATATGGCCATATGCCCAAGTGGAAAGGATTCCTGGGGGAATGTTGTGAACTCCTCTGAGATCCAGAACTCCCAGTCTTCCCTTATGATACCTTATACGATTGATGCCAATTTAACCTACTGACCAAATGAGAGCTCCATTTTCGATCTATATAATAAATATCAATACCTTAATTTTTCTTTCTTTTCTTTTATATGGCTAAAAAACTCCAAACTCCTTCACGAAAAAACATAAACACAAAACAGCATACTAAAATTAGAGGAACAAGGAGCAAGTGGAAAACTGGAAAAGCAGAGCTGTCTAGAGGGCAAGTGCCAATTGCACACCTGAGATTGGAAGACTGAGCCACCACCAGAAGGTAGAAAAGCAGAACACTAGACTTCTGCATTAAGCTCAGAATCCTAGAAGTGGACCAAAGTGGACCCAAGTTGGTAGCACCCCCTGGCTTCCAGCAGTAGTAATTACAAATCCTTTCTGGAGAAAAGTCTGTGGTACAGCATCTCCTAGGCTCTTCACGAAGTAAGATAAAACAAATAAAAGCTCATGTTCAAAGATCGTCAAACTCATAGGAAAAAGTCATCATAAGTAAGAACAAGTAGAAATAAAAATCAACCATATATCCTATGGACTTCAGATATTGGTGATCAGAAACAGAATATAAAGGAGCTATATTTGAAATGATTTTTTGAAATGATGAATTCTTCATTCCATCCATAATGAAGAATGGGTATTGGATTACTTTCCAACAATAAACAACTATTAATATAGACAAAATACATGAACAACTGTTTTTAGGCATTGGACAATAGATAGTGTGGCACTATGACCTTGAGATAAAAGAAACAAACAAGGTGAGCTCCACATTCTCTTTGGCTTTTTGCCTGGGGACACTTTAAAATACAACACAAAGCAGAGAACAGCCGTCTCACCAAATAGAGGAAAGAAAGACTGAAGTTCAAAGATACTGAGGCAATTGAGATTAGAAGGGCAGAATACCAGAGAGGAGGAAACTGAACAGAGTAGGAGCTCCAGAAATCTGTACATGAATCCTCTTGATTGCTTAGCTGAATTTTAAGCTGCACAAGTACAGAGTGAGACTCTGTGAGGCCTGGCAGAGAATAGCCCCTGAGAACTCTGAAATGAGTGGAGATTTGAGAGGTTGGAAATTGCTGAAAGACATTAAAGTTCCAACCAGCAAGTAAAGAGACTTTGGTGAACACTCTGAGAATTCAGTTAAGACCCACAAAAGGCTATAATTTAGGGAAAAGGTTGCATGGAGACCCAAAAAGGGAAAAACCTACACTAGCCCTAAAATAAAGGCTACTATAGACACATCCAAACAAAACCTAAAATCAAGTCTCAATATGATCAAATGATCTGCCAATAAATTAACTAATGAATAGGAAAAAAAAACCCCACAAAACTCATTTTAAAAAACCCAATATCCCAACTTTCAAACACATAGCATTTACAAGGTTCAGCACATAATACAAATTTTATTAGATGTGAGAAATCAGGAAAATGTCATTCACCATCATGAGAAAAAATAATCAATGAAAACAGACGTATTTTAGAATTAGTCAAAATTTATAAATATGGTTGAAGATTTAAAAGAAAAGTTGAACATAATGAGTGAACAGATGGAGGCTCTGACTAGAGAAATGTATACTGTAAAAAAGAACCAAGTGAAAATTCA